GATGAAGGCGCATTAGATGCAAGATAATTCCTTTGTACAGGTTTCTAGCCCCGAAAAGTCGTTGTACTGGTTTGGTTTCACGACCGCGAAACAAAACGAACCTCTTCGTTTTCACCGTAATCAAACAACAAAACGTTGAAAGATATTTATCGAGGTGTTGGTCGAGAGCTGGTCAAACGCGAATGAGGTTGACATTAACAATGAAGTAAGTTAACGGACTGAACGACTTCTTAAATTCTTTCTTAGTATTTAGATTGCGGATTTTATGCATTTCTAGTCTTCAGTGCTCTGTGAAATACAATAAAAGACAAAACTTTCATCGTATGCAAAGAGTCTCCGTTTTATTTTGAAGCCAAATTCCTATTCTTGCTCTTCTCTTTATGGATCACTTTGTAAAATACTTCTTGCATAAAAATCCGCTGTCTATTTATTAGATACCCCGATAAATATTCTATTAACCTATTTTAAAATTCATAAATATATGAAAAATATTATACGTGGCTTTTATTATCGAAGAACTTGCCTCCACCCTGGATTACAATATTATGATATTTATAATAATTTATACCACGTTATCTACTTTAATTTAATATTAATGTTGGGGATTTTAAGTGACGTGTCTATTGGACGCGTTAAAGGGTTAAAGGTTAATCGTTAATTCCTCGATCTCCTCGAATATCCGGCTAGTACCACGCCCCGAACAATCGCCTGCACGCGTATCAGCATCCCCGCGATTTCTCGTCGTTAAAGTGGCTTCATTTCCACGTTGAGCACGCGGCGCATCTCCGTGTGTGTATGTATGTGGTACCTTCCTGATCGTCGTCGCTTACAATTTCTCCTGCGACGCGACAAAATAACACATGTTTCCAAAGACGTGTGTACATACACTAACGACCAAAAGTAGGGGACCGGAGCCCATTATTTTTGGAACGGTAACTCCATTATTCCATTACGACGTAATAAAATGCACCGATCGGTTTTAGGAAATTACTTTTATCAAATCTTTGTAGAATAATATTCTTTTCGTTCTTCAAGGGGTACTGCATACTTTTGAGCTGTGAAATAAGAGGGAAAATTAAGAAATTTTTATAGTGTTAA